ACACAATGGGTTTCAGAAGAAGACAAATGCACAAATGTTTTCACTGGGACAGCAATGACATTTTTATTTATAATGAAATTAAATAGATTATGTGGCTTCACCGTAAAGATTTATACAACTGAGATCAATAGACAGTTGCACGTTATATAAAATGATTAATGATGAACCTGTGAGGAGGTTCTGTTGTCATGTTGAATTTAATTTGCATGTTGAAGGATGATTGTGCAAGGATCAATAAAGTCTCACTCAAGTGAGGAAAAAAAGGGCGTACATGTTCAAACAAGAGAAAATGTCATAAACAAACATGGCTCTAAAATCCCTAATGGTGTTTCTGCTTCTTCTCTTTCCTTGTCAGTGTGTCCCAGAGTGCAACGAGGAGAGAAGAAAAAATGAAGAGGATGACAAAGGAAGAGAAGGAGAGGAGGAGAAAGAAGAGGATGAGAGGAGCAGTGATGAAGGTTTCATGGGAATGAAGCCACTGCTGCAGGCTCACCACGCCATGGAAAGGATGGAGGAGTTCGTACACAAGGTTGGTTCTAATATTAGCTTGTGCTAAATTTCAACAATACAGATGTTTAAGTGCATCACAACTTAAAATCGTCTTCCCACTAAATTTGTTAGATAATGATGTTTGTGTTTACAGAGTCAGTTTTAAATCAGCACTCAATAAAACCACATTGTAAAAGAAGCCAAACTGTAACAAACACTGAAAACATCATGTGTCTGTATTCTGAGCTAAAGTTGCAGTTGACCTCTGACAATGTCAGAAATCATCCAGTGTAGTTTTGATAAAAACGTTTTTACAGTGTAGTTTATGAGTGAAGGGGCGTTAATACACACCAGCACATGTTTTGCTTCTACCAGTTACATCACCAGAAACTCTCAGAACATAGTTCTGAGAGTTTCACAACAATTTCTGAGAAACCAGTTTATGTCCCGAAGAGGTTTCATAATCAACCTTGAGCTTCTCAGACAAAACTGCTGAAATGTGTTTGAATTGTTTTTGCTCCCAGTCTGGGCCTTGTGCTCTTCTTCCACTCTTAATTGTGATATTTCTGTCCCTCATTCACCAATCAGGTGTGGGAGGGCCGGTGGCGCGTCATACCTCACGACGTGCTCCCTGATTGGCTGAAGGACAACGACTTCCTGCTCCACGGTCACAGGCCACCCATGCCTTCGTTTCGCGCCTGCTTCAAGAGCATCTTCAGAATCCACACGGAGACGGGAAACATCTGGACACACCTGCTAGGTAGGACGCACACATACACACACATGTAACGCTGATCTAAACACATGTAAATGCATCTCTAACTGTAACAAATTCAATAAACCTCGCCTTAACATGGAATTACTTTAACCACCACACACACACACACACACACACACACACACACACACACACACACACACACACACACCACACATGACTGTCACGACTGGAATACATAAAGTTATGAGAATCAAACTTTTTGTTCCTCTGTGTCTATTTCTGTAACGTATCACCAGCTAATCTTCACCACCGTTTCACCAGACGTGTTAGGTAACAGACGCTTGTGTGAATGCACTCTATTAGCTGTTGATCAGCAGTGTTGTGTCGAAAGCTGAGCTGAGGTGATTTATATAAGAAAGTTGTGAGTCCAGTATATATTATTTTTGACTCTTGAGATGTGCTGGATTTTTCAATTTTGTTTTCATTTGAAAAACATTTTGTCTCATTTTAAAATTTACTGTGTACCACATTAGGTCATTTACTGTTTAATTGTCTCCTGACTTGAAAACAACATTGCCAATATTTATGTCATCTGCTACCATCTAGCGATGCAAAAGGGTTACTGCAGTTAAATGTTTCACAGTCTTTTGAGTGTGATTTTGTAAATCTCTCTCCATCTCTGTCTTTGCAGGCTGTTTGTTTTTCCTCTGTCTAGGTCTGATGTACATGTTCAGGCCCAACATGTCGTTCGTGGCTCCCGTCCAGGAGAAGGTGGTGATCGGGATGTTTTTCCTGGGAGCCATCCTCTGTCTCTCCTTCTCCTGGCTCTTCCACACAGTCTACTGCCACTCTGAGGGCGTCTCCAGAGTCTTCTCCAAGTAAGACGCACACACGCTGCCAACTCACAATATATCAAGTCTCGTGGAAAAAAGGGAACTCACAGTAACATATTGTCTGTATGTTTGTCTTCAGGCTGGACTATAGTGGAATTGCCTTCCTGATTATGGGCTCATTTGTTCCCTGGTTGTATTACTCCTTCTACTGCTCCCCTCAGCCTTGTTTCATCTACCTGATAGTGGTGTGTATACTGGGACTGTCTGCCATCACCGTCTCCCAATGCGACTTCTTTGCCACACCACAGTACAGAGGAGTCAGAGCAGGTAGAGTGAGAATTCAGAATTTTATTGGTATTTATTCTTTTTAGTAGCTCAAATGTCTGTGTTTTGCTTTGGTGTTCTGGTCCCAAACTTTACTCTATCTCTCTCTCTCTGTGTAGGAGTGTTTGTGGGTCTTGGTCTGAGCGGCGTGGTTCCCACCCTGCACTTTGTGATCAGCGAGGGTCTGATCAGAGCAACCACCATGGGTCAAATGGGTTGGCTGCTGCTGATGGCGACGCTCTACATCACTGGAGCCTGTTTGTACGCCGCTCGCATCCCAGAGAGGTTCTTCCCCGGCAAGTGTGACATCTGGGTGAGTGTCTAATAAACACACACACACGCACACACACACACACACACACACAAACTGACTGGACAAAAGAAGCCATTGTTTCGTTTATGTGACTCTGTTTCTCTCACACACGATATTTTACCCTTTTTCTTTTTCTCCATAGTTCCACTCCCACCAGTTGTTCCACATCCTGGTCGTCGCCGGGGCTTTTGTCCATTTCCACGGCGTCTCCAACCTGCAAGAGTTTCGCTACACAGCGGGGGGAGGCTGTGCCGAGGACGGCACTCTCTAACACACACATTCACACACACTGACTCAACTGTTCACTCACACGTATTTTAACTGGGAGGCACCGGTTCTACTAACATGCACAGAATTACACACACACACACACACACACACACACACACACACACACACAC